TGTGCCTTGGCAGTCTCATTCACTTGGGGTAAGGACTCATTCCCTACTTGGAGTGGACAGTCCATCGGTTTCCTGCTGAGAACCATGGCCTCAGATTTGGAGTGCAAAATGCCTTTCTGACATTTTTGCATGAATATGTATTTTAAAATTTAAAAAAAACAACATGGCTCAAATGGCTGAGAGTGTACCAAGCTCTCGATTGAACAAACTTCATCAACATATGTTCACAATGATCCCTTTCACTAACATTAAACATGATTTAGTAATCCATTATAACTTATGGAGCCCTGTGCTTACTTACATGGATGGTCATTTCTATATTATCCATACGGCTGAACTTGCTGGCATATTTATTTATTTATTATGACCATGGAAACCAAAAAGTAAATTCCATTTGCTCTACTGCTGCGAATACTTGTTGTGCTAGTATGAAAACTATTCAAAAAGGGGAAAATAGTTCCCAACAAATGAGCCATTTACTGCAGTTTCAGTCAAGTTTGTCCATCTTGTCCTTAACATGTCATATCACAACATAAGACTGCACAATCCCCAGTGTAGTATATTAAAAAGGCATTGATGCAACTTAAAGTCAAACAAAAGAGTAAGTATATTTTTTTCTTACATAGACTTTTTGGAAGCACATCTTGCACTCTGAGAGAGGTGGAGGTTTGGGGGCCGCCAACTTCCGCTTGGAGTTGACAGAAGCGAGGCAGGCGTCGCTGCACAAGTCCCTCAGAGTTCCTGAATCATCCACTGGACAACGAATCATTTTGCGAGGCCGCAGGATCACCCTGAAGGGGAGGAGATCAGGGTGGGATTTGTCAGTGTTGCATTGGGTGCTTTGCTTTCACACAGAAACCTTGTTTTTTTTATTTATGCATTTTCAGTCTCTTGAGTTGAAGGTGTTTGTTTGTTTTAAGAAGACATATAATGCTCATTTTCAGGTTTATAGTTGTATTTTATGCTTCTACTGTGACATGTTTAAATGCTTCAATGTTCAAAGAGGTCTTAATTTTTCTCTGCTGGCCAGCTCTGTTGTGATTTATCAAACACATAGAGATGTCCCGCCCCTTAGCCTATCACGTACAATGTATTGGAGCGCTAGCCAATAGAAGCGAGAGTGTCACATAGGGATGTCATTCTGTTGCGGAAGTAGAAAAGGATTCCAATGGAGGCGTTTGAGGCAGGGGGGGGGAGTGTGTAGGACAGTAACTCCCTTTGGAGGAGACACAGGGAATTTAACCTTTGCAGACCTTTTACTGTACATGCACAAACACAGAACAAGGCCTCTTTAAACATAAGCTCAAGATCTTCAATTTATAACCACACCTCACGGCCCAGAAGCTTGAACAAGGGAACGCTTTTTTAAATGTTTTCTCTTGAAAGAAACATAAATAGATTTTCCAAATACTATTAGATCATGTATACTAGACTATACAATAATACTATACTGTAGATAATGTATCATAACTGATGAACTTTTTTAGAATATTTGAATTTAGTACATTTTGTCTGTTTTATACAAATGCACACGTACAGAGCAGAAACAGCATGTATAGAAATATCCAGGACTTACTGGAANAAATGGCCAGATAGACTGAGAACTTTGCCTTCTGGCTCAGCTCCTTTTTCGTCACAACGTTGCGGTAAAGCCACTGCAGTACCGCTCCCGCTGCTCCGATTCATCGGAGCAGCGGGAGCGGTACTGCAGTGGCTTTACCGCAACGTTGTGACGAAAAAGGAGCTGAGCCAGAAGGCAAAGTTCTCAGTCTATCTGGCCATTTTAGCTCCTACCATCACCTATGGTCATGAAGGATGGGTCACGACCGAAAGAACGAGATCGCGGGTACAAGCGGCCGAGATGGGTTTTCTCCGCAGGGTGGCTGGTGTGTCCCTTAGGGATAAGGTGAGAAGTTCGGTCATCCGGGAGGGACTCGGAGTTGAACCGCTCCTCCTTCGCGTCGAAAGGAGCCAGTTGAGG